ATGAGCATAAATGTGTTTGAATTACATTTAGCTCTTCTGAATTAGTATATATTTAAAAGCTAATTCTTATTTAATTTAATTTGATATTTAATTGGAAGAGAATCTAATATTTTTAACTTATGGGGTACAAATTACGAATATATATAAATTCCACAACGTTTTATAGTAGTTCCAAAAAAGTATAAAATGTGATAGCGAAAGCATATGTTAAGCATATGTGTAAGAATATATAAATAAGTATTATGTTATGTATTACTTTTGTAAATTTTTACAGAGGATAGAAATATATATTTTATTTACATTCAACTGTAAAATTGTTCGTAGCTAGGCAATAAACATGAATTAAGTAAAGCAAAGGAAATGCCAAAACGATTTTCATATACTGTTTATAATATAAAAATGAGCTATGGATTCTTTATAATTAAGAATTCACTGAATTTTCGTTTTGTCACTTATATTGTTTCGCTTAAAAAAAACAATTGAGACTGAGGAATTAATGCAAAATATACATATATTGTCACATTAAGAAGCAGGTGTCTTATAACAATCTATATTTTCTGAAGTATTTCTGATATATATATATCATCTTTTCTCGAGAGAGAAGTTTCTCGTTTTCGTCTTATCTTTCCTGTAGAATTACTATAGCATCCTCATAACATTTCGTCATCTGGTCGAGATAAGCTAATATGATAGATTCGCTAATGGATTCGCGCGACAATTTTCGAAACGTCGCTAGATCGGTTCTGGAATGCGAATCGGTTTTATCGGGGCACAAAAGCGCCTTATCCAGGTCCAGAAGCAGATCATTCCATATCCTCATATGCAGCATCCTAAAATATACCGCCGTTTTAAAATATAATCATATAATTTTGGCAAGTTATGAGACAATTTTCTCAATAATTTTAATTCTAGTAATTTCTGTGATATTCGCGTCATTGATTTCATACAGACATTATTAAGTTTCTTAATTAATTAATCATTAATTAATTCTGAGTTTACTTACTGGATATTATCTGTCGCGTCGATTTCTGTGTTAAGTTCTTCCACGGCTGTGAGCAATATCCTTAACGTTCTCTTCAATTTCTCTGAAAGTGCAACGTAGAAAAGCAATTAATTCAGGCTTTTCAACATTCTGCTGGAAATTAATGAAATGAAAGGAAATAAAAAATACCCTTTGTATCGTGAAATCTGCTAGTGTCTATAGACTCCAATATTTTATTAACAGTTTCGTTAAAATACTTAGGTTCCCATTGAATAACTGTGCACTCGGACAGTCGCCATATAATTTGGCTAACCATCTGAGCCAGAGTTACATCGCGTAGTTGGGAATTTTGATTGTGATGATTGTGCGCAGGGCTGTTATCATTCTGCATAAAAAAAGGATGAAAAACATAGAAATTTTTCCGATTAATATTATCAACTAAATAGATATTTAATAAAATATTTACAAGTCTTAAGCGGAGATATAAAATAAAATAGTTTAAATCTTAATTTTGCATGAAACGAGGCTACTTACGAACGAAAATATCACTTGCGGAATATCTAGAGAAAGGCGGGGACCGAATATTTCGTGTTCGAAGTATGTCCAGTTATTATTGCCGGGTATTGTCCTGATAGCTTCGACAGCTAAGGATCGCATGATATCTGATCCGAATAAAACCATGTGATTGTTAGCTGAAATCAAATAATTCTTTATATGTGTTCCCTATATGATGTTCATAACACGGAAGTAATAAAAATTCGAGCAAACCTCGCACAAAACGACCGTGCACCGTCACATAAGCTACAGCTTTTCGCCACATAAATGTAGGCAGAGCCTGTGGACAAATGTCCGAGGACGTAAAAGACATACAAAAGATTAAACTTCGTCGTGGTCGCCAATTGTGCTCTGAACATATTTTGTCTAGAACTTGCGCCAATTTCAGAGCTAATGTTATACCATCTTCATTAACGGATAAGATAACATATCTATCTGAAACAATTTGGTAGAATAAACGGAAGTCCTATGCGATAGAAGAAGAGATAGAAGAGATAAAAGCTTTTCCTGTAAGTAAATATGTAATGATAAAATCAGAAGACACGATAGTGTCTCGGGTGTCAAGTAACTTTTGAGACCAGCCTATTCGAAATGATCGCTTTAAACCTGTGAGGACGGGAACTTTCTAACAAAGAAAAACTTAAAGAAGAATTTATTTTCTAAAAGTTTTTAGAGTCGCTGAATTTCATTCTAGCCTCAAAATTCTAAAATTCCCATTTCAAAATAAAAATAATAATTTTTATCCAAGTAAATATAACTAAAGCATTAAGGACTCACCTGGTTCACGTGAACCGAGAACAGTCGCATGAATGCATGATGCATGGTTGTACACTTTATGAATGAGTGACAAGTTGGAAAAGAGCCCACTTATGCGTCGCATATCTTCATCTGACGTCTGTCTATTTCTAATTGAAAATAACGAACATTTATTAGTAAAGAATTTGATTCGATAATTTTCTAATGGAAATTTTCATAAAGATTAATCTACTATATGGTATTATATTCTGATATATCATATATAAACTGATATGTCATATATAAACGAAAATATATTCAGATATATTGTCATATATAAAAATGATAAGATATTAAGCAATGTACGTCGTGCGATTGTAATCGAATGACACTTTTTCCATTTCCTGGAGCACTACTTCCTGAAGATATTCTGTGTTTCGGAGACCATTTCCGGCCAATTCACTTCGTATCTTTTGTGTCTGGGCCTCCAACGATCTTTGGACGGCGAAGCGGCCCAGTAGAAAACCACATAGGAGACACAGAAAACCAACCGAAAAGAGAAACGAGAAACACAATCGTTTCGTCACGTATTCACTGGATTCGCCGATATTGCGAGTCATTTGAAAACTGAGGACTCGCTGCATCCTCGCAAGGTGTTCTTTATGGGAATCTGTTCAAATGTATTACTGATAGATTCCTCCTATCATCCTTTATTGTGTTATATTTGTCAGATTAAATTCTTCTCGTATAACTGCATATTGAACAGCTTCAAAATATGAAAGCTCGACCTAGATTTTTCTTATACAAACCCAATGAATTCACATTCGTGCATTTCTAGATCAAATGTGTGCATGAAACATAAATTACGCAAGCATGATCAAATCTTAAGTTCATTAAATCAACAAAATCTTGTAATATGCAAAATATTTCCCCGTATATTATTTGCGCGAAAGTTTCAGTTATATGATAAATCGCGAAAACAATCCACTTTTGCTAATTAAATCAATTATCAAAACAGTAGTCACATTATCTTGATAACAGAATTATTAAATTAACGATAAATCTTCGCTGATTTTTAATGCGATACGTCCACTTGGACCACACTTTTGTCACCATGTAGGAAAATCTCACGTCGAGTTTTGATCGTGAAGACGATAGAGCTGACCGTTTTCCGCTATCTTCGTCGTCGCCAAATTGCGTGGGACCCCACAAATATATTTTACAGTCCGCCTCTTTGACGTCTCGTTTATTTTATTCTTGCGTGAAGAGCGTGCGCGCTGTTCTCATCTTCGTTCTTTTGTGTGGAAGAAAATAAGGAAGTAAAAGGAAGAAAAAAACAATATAACAGCAAGAGTTTATTTTTTAATCGAGTCCACACTTGGCTTTTGCTAAATGAGAATTTTAGAAATTTATCCAATCATTTGTTATTCACCATTTAGATAAAAATAGTTTTACAGTTAAGGGAATGCTGGAGTGACCAAATTATTACATTACAGTCGTATAAAAATCTTCGAATTGAATTTTTTATTTCGTTCAGTCAATTCGAAGATTTTTTTACGACTGTAATGTAATAATTTGGTCACTCCAGTATCCCCTTAAAATGTTAATCTTTTTTTAAGTATTGCGGCGAGAAATTTTTAATGAAAGGTAATCTGAGAAAGAGAGGATTATCAAAGAAAAAGGCTGATTATAATTATCAATTTCTTTAAATTGAAGAAATCATTTAGAGTATAAAGATCATTTGTCAAAATTATAAATCCATTTGGAAAATATGACACTAAAACAAGTTTTTCTCTGGACACCGTGTACGCAAACGTCATCAGAAGTGTGGACGTCGCATGTTGGGTAACTTATTTCGAGCAATAATACGATGGCGGTGTTTCATTTATAAATAGTTTTCAATGTATTACGTGCGCGTGCAAGGTTGTTCCAACTATAACGTCTTCTATGCGGACTTTCGAAATATGTACAAATTTTTCACGCGTGTTACATTGTCACGCGTGACAATGTACCGTCCATTTTATTGAAAGTTCGTTATTTGTTAAAACTTGAATGAATTAACACTTAAAAAACTACGGGAAACGATGAAGTTCATTCAGACAATGATAAATTCGAAAGTGTAAATTGGGGCAGGTATCATTAAATATTATCGTATACATAAAATTAATCTTTAATACACACGATGATTTTTCGCACCTTTAACATATACGATAGGTCTTTCGCGTGCTGGATGAATTCTTATTACTTTTATAAATATATAAAAAGAAATAGGACATAAATATTATTAAGGATAAGAAAACGCTAATCTGTTTTGGAAGGTATTTAAAATTCATTTGTCTTTAAAAGGAATTAATTTCAGACCTTTTTGGACTTTTCAATCAATCTTTTATTTACAAATTTTTACGTACATATGAAAGTGGGTTTTCTTTAAATTTAATATATTAGAACCTAGTGCTAGGACCTAATAGAGTCGAGAAAATAAAGATAAACATTATATTTTTTAAACTATTGTGAATTAGGCTATTAATTTATGCCAAGTCATTATGAATCAAGACGATTCAATATCTATAAACCATATATATTTTAAATATATCTTACGATACTTTTTTCCTGTTTGAAAAGTCATTTTCGATATATCCGTAAATGCATTTCTGAATGTAATTAACATATAGGCAGAAATCAATAAAAATGTAATCGTTTCTATCGTGCATCTTCTAATTTGTCCTTCTTATCTTCTAAAACGACGGAAAAACGTTCGTTGGAATGATGTGTTCTGATGTAATGCATCATGGTGTTCCTTCAAACTCAATAGAGTAACAAACGTATCCTTACATATTTCGCACTCGAACGGTTCTGCAAACGTTTATATAAAAATTGCAAATTCTTTATATGATACAGATATTCGATTTATAAGAATTATTTGCACGGACACAAAGATATCTGTACTTACCATGCATTTTCCAGTGCAGATGTAAACTCAAATAATCGGTAAACGCTTTATAGCAATAAGAACAAAATACCACGTCGTTGTGATATAAATAAATATGATGTTTGAACAGGGACCAATTCTTGATGATTAAATTGCAATAATTACACATGTAAAATGTTCCGGCATGGACTCTTTGCATGTGTTCGTCCAAATTCTTCTTTGTTTCAAACTGAACATTACATTTGCAGCAGACGTTCCGTAATTGAATTATATCAGGGATAGAACGTAGATTTCTGGAATAATCTCTGCTTTCTCTATTCCTTGATAAGATGGCACCCATGATGTTTCAATGCAAATTTCTTTTGGGAAAAACGTCGTTAACAGGTAGTTTTACGACTTTTGATCTTTCGTTTCTTAAACGTTTTACAACAGATTATTTCTATTCTTTCGAAATCTTCGTATACGAGTTGATGTGTAAAACCTCAGATAATTTAAATTTTGCAATTCAGATTGCAAATTCGAAAAATCGATAAGCACAATACCACAGCACGTATGAGAGGACTCGAAGAATTCTGTGGTATTAAATTTGACCTACGAATGTATACGACTTTTCTGTTATGTCTCGTCCGAACATATTTTTGTATATTTAAACATTTAGCAATAAACAACAAGTCCTGTTTATATGTAAACTTTATATTGCTTCTTCAGATGCTATTGCTGGATAAATCTAGCAAATTTGTAATCGCTGAGTGTAAATATGCAACGATTGTGGAAATATGCAAATATCGAAGTATCAAGACAATTTATTTGTTTGAGCTATATACGTAAATAAGTATCTTAGTTGATTAAAGATTATCAAAATTAGGCATATTTTTTAATATTTAATTAGAAGATAAAAATATTGTAAAAAATATTTAACCTATTTTTTTTTAAGAAAAATTAATCTCCGATTTTTATTCTCTGCAGTCAATTCTTATTTAACTTAATAAAAACTTTTATATTTATATATATATAATAATTTATATACATATCTATTTTTAATTTGATATATTAACTGTCATAATCTAGTAGTAGTTTAAAGTATAAAAATCTGTGTTATTTGAAGAATCACTATTCATTTAATCTGTTAAATCGTTGAAAGGCGACTTAACATTCGTATAATATATATGTTCTTATTTAGATTATCATATCACCTTTATAAAAAAGATTCCTTATAAAAAACTATTTTTAATAATTCTCGACAAGGAATAAAATCATATGAACGCGCTTTCGTGTATTAATTATTCCTTCTAATTTTATTCTTCTCTTTGCATTGGAGCTCTTTGTAATTGACGATAGGGTAAGTCGAATGATATCTCATGGTGCAGTGAAAGGTGATGGTCCCTCAAGTTTGACAATGTTTTAAACGTATTGTAACATAATTCGCACTCGTACGGCTCTGTGTACAAACGTAAATTTATTATACAATATGTTTAGTTCGAAAAACTGTTTGTCGTAGTTGCCGGATATAACGATATATTTTCTTACCGTGCATTCTCCAATGTAGTCTCAGCCTCCAATAATTGGAATGCGCTTTACAGCAATAAGGACAGAATACTATGTGCCTGTGAACAGTGTAACTATGTTCCAGAAATTTTAGCCAAGTATCGCAGATCACGTTACAGCAATCACATGTGAAAGACATCCCGGCATGGTTTTCATTTATATGTTGATTCAAATTCATCTTTGTGAGAAATTGAAGATTACATATGGGACAGATATTCCTGTACCGAATCATTACAATAAAATGCAGAAGCTTTTCGGATTCCCTGCGCCTTGCATCTAATATCGTTGTCGTATCCATATCCAGTTAATGTTTCAATGCAAATTTCTTTTAAAAAGACAATGTCGTACTTGTGAAAGATGATGCTGATTTTACTGCAGATTTTTTTCTTAGTTTGTTCTTCCTTTTGTCTTCTTTTCGAGATCTTATTTCCGTCCTTTCCGACTCTTTGTGACTAGAGATTCGTGAACGTGATATATGTATATGTTTATATGGATGCTCGGGCTGTAATAGTCAATTTTGTAATTTAAATTGTAAAAGAAATTGCAAAAGGAAGCTCAATGTCGCAGCGCGAACGATCGACGAACTCGAACAACTCAAACTTGAACGATTGAAATGAGAGTATGAATTTTTTTTGTACTTACCGAGCATATTTTAGAAACAAACAATTTTAGAAATTTTAGAAATAATCTTGTTTATATGTATATGATTGGAAATAAACTTTGTATTGCTTGTATCACATTGCTGGATAAACCCTTTAAATTTCCAACTGTTGATCAATGTGATTATGTAGGTAATTGTACAAATTACGCAGCTCTTATTGCGAAAATATATCGTAACAAATGTCATATCAAAATACGAACTTTTCTATCTATTCCTCTTGAAACCGCGATCACGCATATTGCAATGATAGCTAAGATATGTACTTGCCCTACTTTTTCTTTATTATTATTTGCTTTTTTTCTGAAGATATGATTACATAGATTGATGTTTCATTTATAAGTAATTTTCAGAAATTCTATTTGTATTACATGTACGTTTCAATTATAACATCTACGTAATTTTTATTATAAGCTTTTTCGCAGTCATCAATATTAGTTTCCACAAAAGTTTCTATACTGATATATTAAAAGTTACTATTTTCTTTTTGAACTACAAAGAGTGCGTTCCATTTGACGCTCACAATATTCGTGAGCATCATTTGTCCCTGTTTAATATTTGATAAACAAGGATGAAATGATATCACGAGCGTTGTGAACGTTAAATGGAACGCAGCTAAAGTAGCGGCCTATATAGTGTTCAAAGAGATAGAAACTTCCCTTCGTACATATGAGGCACGAGTAAAGTGGGGATGTTAAAATTATTTTACCCGTTCAATTTTCTAAGCCCAGATCCAAGTGTATCGTATTTATGAACATGATAGACATCGTTACTTTGCCTACTATGTACATCGCCTCCTATGGAGAAATGTAAATCTTTCGTTGAATATAGTTATTTAGAGATTATTTGAGAATAAAACAATGATTTTTTAATATTTTATTAAAAAGTAAACATAGTAAATATTGTAAAAAGTCTTTGAAACACGTTGATTTTTGATAAAAGCAAGCTATAGACTTCTGTTTTTTAATCATTTTTCATTTAGAAAATTTTTTACATATACATATAGGAATGTTTTTGTATATTACATGTAATATACTTATCTCTTTTTTTCTTTCACGCGCGCGCGCACACACACACACACTCTCTCTCTCTCTCTCTCTCTCCTTCCCTTTCTTTAGTATGATCTACTTAATACTTGATCCGTAATTATGAAGAAAGGTCTATTTTAAAATATCACACGTCATACATGTACATATATATATATATATATAATAGAATTGAGTCTATAATATAGAAAGTAAAACTATATGTAAAATTAACATCAATATAAATAATATATATCTTTTTCAAAATAATTTTTTCCTAAATGTCAATTTTTTATAAAATTAATGTAATACAATATTGTCACATGTCTAACATTCTCGCGTTTTATTTGCGATTAAAAATTTGGTTTTGATTTACGGACATTTATGAAATTTCAAAATATCCTTATCTATTAAATCTTTGCATTATATTGCATCGCATTATTAGGTATCACTAGCGTATGTTTAAAAATAATATTCATGAAAAATACACGCACGCACGCACGCTGTATATTACATTACAGTCTCCGTTATTTATAGATACAAATAGAAAAAGGATAATTCTACGTGAAGAAAAATATGTCAAAAAAAGTTATTCATATATATTTTCTCAAACATTCAAAAAATGTTTGGAATTCAGGATATATATTAAAGATTAAATCATAAAATCATTAATATTTATGAAATATTTATAAAATAAATTAAAATTAAGTAAAAAGGCTCAATTTTATAAAATTTTAAATGATTTGTTTTAGACTCGTAGCCCTTCTTTGTTATATTATTTATAAAATAATTATTACAATTTATATATATCCGTATGCATACATATTTTATATATATACGTATATTACATATAACTTAATTTTATTTTTTGACCAATTAATCAATATTCATAAAATTATTCATTTATAATTATTTTAATAATTATAAGTATTAATTATTCATACAATTGACTATTATGCAGCAAATTACTGTTACAAGTTATTCAAATTTAAAACAGAATACTTTTAATTTAAAACAAGATTTTATTTTTAAAAATTCTACTTTATATTTATAATGTGATTTTATTATATATTTTTCCATTTAGAATTATCCTTTAAATTGTAACATCAATAATGGACTACCCTGTATGTATCTTAAATACGTTTTTGCACAAGTACTTAGAATATTATCATAGATCTTTCGAGCAACTTAAACTTTTTAATGTCAGGAACATTTGTATTAACTAAATTTTTTGTTTATTCGACCCTAATTTAAATTCGATGACACTAATCGGACTCGATACGACTTTCACACAAGTCCCGAAGTTTACTTTGCGAGTATCCGCACGTTCCTAACTTTAAACGTTCATGACTTTTGAGATAACGTTTCTGACCGAAGCTGATACCGCATTTCTGACACGTATACGGTTTCTCTTCGGAGTGGACGCGTTTGTGTCTAGTTAGGTCGTTTTTTACGCCAAAACCTTTACCGCATACGTCGCACGTATGATTCTTCTCACCTGTGTGTACTGTCAGATGACCCAACATCTGTTGTCTCCAACGGAACTTTTTAGCGCAATAAGTACACTTGTGCGGGAACTCGTCTGTATGGGTCTTACTGTGTATATAGAGGGATGCTTTGGTCTTGAACGTTTTGCCACACGTGTGGCACACGTACGGGCGTTCACCGGTGTGGATACGTCGGTGATCTTCCATGGCAGTCTTCATGGCAAAGCTGCGACCACATATATCACAGGTGTGATTCTTCACGCCGTCATGCACATGTTTCAGATGATAATATAGACTACCACCCTGAACAAATTGTTTCCCACAGATGTGGCACGTGTACGATTTCTCACCCGAGTGCGTACGTACGTGAGCCCAGTGATTTTTGCGCGAACGGAACTTCTTGTTACAAAATTTGCAGACTATCGTCGGACTGGTGCATGCAACTTTTTTGGATTTGGATTGTTTGACGTTTTTCTCTACATATTCATTAGACTCGTTTACTTCAGCTATAAGATCCTGTCGCGTAGCCTCGTTTGGTGTTGTCCCTTTCGCGCAATTTGCTTGCGTCTGACTAGTAGAATTAGAACCTTCATTTTCTATACTCTTCTTCTTATTGTCATTTGTCAAGTTTTCTGAGGAGGACATTTTAGATGACGTATTTGTGGAAGACAAACGTTTAGTTAATTTATCGTTATCGATATTATCTGCAGGAGAAAAAATATTCTCTGAATTTTCATCGATTACATTGGATGTTTTAGTTTGGATTGGATTAATTTTACTTCTCCGTTCTCTCATCTTGTACACTCTTTGGCAATTGTGGGTGATTTTCCGGTCATGTGTAATGATTTCATTTTTTAATCTGTAAAAACAAAAAGTAACCACTTTTGTTATCAAGCTTATATTTATTATCATATCATTATTTTCTATATATTATATATACGTATTAAAGATATTTAAACAAATATTTAATATTCTTTTAGTCAGTTTCATATATATTTAAATTATAAAATCGTAGTTTATGAAAAGAAAATTTTATTTGTAGATAATGTGCGATGAAATTAAAAATTTTCGATCTTTTTAAAACTTAACGCGATATATTTATCAGTTTTCTTTAATAATTGCAAGATATATCTTATGAAATTTACTTACAGTTTCCTTTGCTCAGCTTCTTTTTGTATTATTTGACGAACTCGAGAATTGACAGATATTAAACTTTTTATCCAGGATTTCAGAGAATATCGTTTCTCCGTTATTCCAAATACTTCTTGTTTAGTAACATTTAATCAACTCTTATTTATTTGTTTACTTTTAAGATTTTTATGATAATCTTACCAAGAAATTTGAGATTATTTTAATCAAGAAAAGCAATCTCTGCGTGGTTTTTTTCTTTAATGCGTGAAACACACTTCCTTCGATTCGATACAGATACAGAAAATAGAATGAAATCAATACGAATGATTTTTCTGTAAGATAAAGGATTATTTAGTTCTTTTTGTTTCTCATCTAATTTAAAAAAATACTTAAGGTGTTCGAAGGATTAATAACTGGTGTATTGATGGCATGAAGTTTAACGATCGGCAAATGTTCCATAATTTCATTCGTCAAAAACAAACCCTGCATCTTGTCTTTTATGTGCGTACAGCCGTGTGTAAACTGCCATAGTGTCTCTTTAGATATCGTTCTTGAGCAAACTTGGCGCCGCAGATTACACAAATATGCAAGCGTTGATTGGTATGAGTGCGTTGATGACGGGTGATGCAACTTTTGCTGCGGAAACGCTCGTCACAGATATCGCAGGCATATGGCTTTCGACCAGAGTGCCAGGTCGCATGCTTGTCCAATTCCTGTTTTCTTCTAAAACCGCGGTCGCACAGAACGCAACGATATGGCAGGATCTGGGAATGGTAGAGTCGGTGCACGTGCAGGGACGCCTTCTGCTTAAAGGATTTGCCGCAGGTCTCGCACACGTGAGGCCTGTCACCGGAGTGAGTGCGCCTGTGCTCGTCCCTCGATGCTCTTGAGGCAAGACGACGGCCGCAAATATCGCAGGCGAAATTTTTAACGCCGTCGTGGACGTCGCGCACGTGTCTGTTCAGACCGGACGCTGATCGAAAACTCTTGTTGCAAATAGAACAAATGTATGGTCGTACTCCAGCGTGAATGTTGTGGTGAATTAGCAGATTATACGATGTGGAAAGAACTTTCCCGCACTCCTCACACTTGTGAGAGGTATTTCCGTCACCCTCCGTCGTTTTCGAGCGAGTTAATTTGACGTGTTGTTTCAATAATTGTTTGGATTGTTTTGCACATTTTTGAGAATTCATCGTATGTTCCTCTTGAGGCTTCTGCGTTTGTTCAGAGTTGTTCGGAGAATTTGCCGAATTGTATCTTTCCAATTTCTCGTCAAAATCACTAAGATACGTCGATGATAGACATTTCTTGCTGGATACCGTTGATTGAGCTTTTCCGACATTAACGTATTCTTCAGACTCCTCGTTCTTTGGCGAGCTGACTCGTGAGTGTTTCTCCGACTCGTCTTTCGACACTCGACGCGTACATCTGAAAAGAGAGTCAGCCCGTTACTTGGGGGGCGGCCAAACTTCGTGGTGGCTCGTGATTGAGCTTCTTATGATTAACTAAGTAGCGCTTTTGGCGGAACGAGAGGCTGCAGACGGTGCAGCGCCAGGGTTTCTCGTCAGAATGAATCAATCGGTGCCGCTTTAGCTCATATTTGATGCGAAAGTGACGACCGCACACATCGCACGCGTGCGGCTTCTCACCAGTATGCTTAGTGATGTGCACCATCAGCGGCGGCCGTGTGCGAAAGGTCTGATCGCAGTAACTGCATTTAAATGGAAATACGTCCGAATGCGTACGATTATGCACGAACAAGGAGGCTTTTTGCTTGAACGTTTTGCCACAGATGTTGCAGACGTACGGCCGCTCGCCGGTATGAATGCGTCTGTGATCCTCGACGTTGCGCCGCGTCGAGAACATGCGGCCGCACAGATCGCATGGTACGTTCTTGATGCCAGCGTGAGTGTTCTTTAAATGTCGCGTCAGACCTTGATTCACGCGGAACCGTTTACCACATAGGTGGCAGGTAAATAGTCGCTCGCCCGTGTGGATGCGCAAGTGCCAGTAGAAGGTGTACGGTGAATTCAGATTCTTGCCACATTCATTGCAATGATAGTAAATCTTACCATCGTGCTCTATTCGCGCGCGAAGCACCGTTTCTGTGGCCACAAAGGACTTCCGACTTCTATTTACGACCTCGGGATGCGCCTCCGTCAGATGAATTTTTAACAGTTTCTTTCTCTCCGCGGTGTGCTCGCAATAACTGCATGGATAAGTCCTGAATTGTTTTTTCAATGGTTTTACTGATGAAAGGCAAGACTCTTCATCGTCGTTTGTGCTCTTAATATCTTCTATCAAGCGTTCTTTCTTTTTTATCGTACCATCATCGGGCTTCTTTTTCTTTTCTGTCATTTTACTACGCATTCTTGTTAAATCTTCTTTGGCTGAATCGTGACATTTGCAGTCCGTCATATGGCGGATTAGATGGTGTTTTCTTTTAAAGACACGTTGGCAGTTATCGCAAGTGTAACCCTTCTTCACAGATTCACTCGTTGACTGTAGAATTGTCGATTCATTTTTTTCTTGAGCTCGTGAAGCGTTCGAGTCCGTTTTCTCGTCATATTTTTCTGCGTTGCAATTACCCGACAAATTGCGTGTTTCTCTTTTCGAAATTTCTTTAGCATTCTCTGCAATCAACGTCATGCTTCTCATCGGATTGCTTTTGTACTTTATCGTGGCATTACTCGTCAGTGCAGCGTTACACGAGGAATGATATGTCGTGAAAGATCTCTCCTCTGCCAGCTCGCACCTGGAAAAACAACAAAGGCGGCAGATTTGAATCGGTTTCGTCGCAGGCGCGAAAGGCCGTGTCTACATAGAGAAGGAGAGAGAAGGAAAGAGCCACGATACTCTTTCGGCTTAAATTTCTAACGCTCCTTATCGTTAGGACGCTCGTAGAGATTCGTTGTGCCGGCTCTTAATATGATTGTTCAGATAGCGTTTCTGCCGAAAAGCGAGACCGCAATTAACGCAGACAAACGGCTTATTCTCGGAATGAATAAGTTTGTGCCGCACGAGTTCGGACTTGACCCGGAACTTCCTCTCACACATGTCGCACCCATGATTCTTCTCGCCGGTGTGCGTGGTTACGTGGGCCAGCACCTCCTGCCGTCGACGAAATTGCTTGCTGCAGTACGAACATATGTGCGGGAACACGTCAGTGTGTAGCTTGCTGTGAATGTACAAGGACGCTTTGGATTTAAATGTCTTTCCGCACGAATCGCAAATATACGGTCGTTCGCCGGTGTGGGTACGTCGGTGATCGTCTCGCGTCGCCTTAGACGCGAACGATCTGCCACATAGGTCGCACATAAAGTTCTTTAGCTTTGCATGCACATCTTTAAGGTGCCTGGTCAGTCCTCCAGAATCGCGGAACTGTTTGCCGCACACGTGACAAGTAAACGGTCGTTCGTTCTTGTGGATTCTCATGTGTCGCAAATACGAATCCTTCAGCTTGAAGCATCTATTACATTCGACGCACTGGAACGTATCCTCCTTATGCGACGTTTTTTCAAGAATCTTGCACAGATCTTTACTGTCCTTTTCATTATCAAGTATCAAATGCATCGAGTTGTCGTCAGAAGAAATGTGATCTCTCTCGTTTTTCTTCACCTCATGTGCGACACTGATCGTCCGAAGCTCGTTGTTGTCCTCGAGATCAGAATGTTTTATAGAATGCTGCATCGAAACAGGCTCTCCCTTCACTACGACAGGCAACTGAACGTTACTCTCCTGTTCAGACACGGTAGACGGTTGATCGTGCGCCGTGTCCATGACGGCGATCCAGACCGAGTCGGAATCCTCGGCCGTCGCGTTCGGCTTTGTAAGGTTGCGGATTCTCGGCTGGGACCGTTTCCTGTATGGCTTCCAAAATGCTTTTGGCGTGTCCGGGGACACTTTTAACGGTGTCCGGACGCCGCACGACCTGCAAAATAGCCGAAACTTGACTCCAGGTTTTGCGATTGCGCGGCACGACGCAGCGGACGATTGCGATTTCGAATCGGCTGTCACAGCCGCTCGTTTTTTTTTTCTAGGTAATCGCTAAAGCCAACCACCCCGGCTGCTTACGGTGCGTTACCTTTCTCTTTCTATACTTTGCTCAAAATCATTCGTTAAGTTTGTCGCAAAAATGTTCTTGGCATATCCAACGCCGACAAATTGTTCAGTTTTTATGTTTTCTTTTAAAAAGTGTCTCAGCGAGAGTTTCACAGTTCGTTATGACGCGTATCATGATTGCTCGTATGTAGTCGATGTCGAACAGTCTTCATCTTTTCGTAAGATACACGGAAAATGTTTAACAAGCTCTATGTGACACTTGTATATGTATTATTCGCATTATATTTCTAATATTCTATTATCTATGTGCTAAAAATATAGCGACCATGAGCAAACGTTCACATAAATGAGGAACAGGTAACGAGAAAGAAAACTTCGTGCTCTTTTTGTTTAGTTAACAAATCACTAAAATATATGAGATCATTACCTGTTAGGTTTATTAATTTTTTCCATGCTGCAAACTCCACTTTTGTCATCGTCCTGCTGACTTGGCTGTAATAAGACGTTCTAATTAAATTTCTTATGTTACTGATTCAAAAGGATATTTTTTATAGTTTTATCATACTTACTAGATCCGTAATATTAGACGCAATAGTTGACGTAATATTAGATGTAATATTAGATGCAATGGTCGTGCTGGCTGTTGTGAACATTGGCGCAGTAACTTCTAAATTATCCAGAGAAGGATTGTAATACTGCAAACATTAAAAATATATAATTAAAATATTGTATAGTTGCTAATGAAAAAGCAAAGGTTACAAAAAATTGATTACAGAAAAATTTTAAGAGCAACATGAAAAAAAAACGAATATAAGAAAATAGAATAAAATTAAGAGCAGATCTATAATAGAAAAACATATTTTTTAAGATATAAAATTAGTCAGGATTAATAGACTAAAGTAGCTCGCAATATGATGTAATGACAGAGTGTATAAGTGAAGAGTTAAACTCTAAAAAAAGAATAATTTAAATTCTAAAAAGACAAATGGCAGTATAAATTCTTTATCTTGTACATGTTATCAAAGACAAATGAGCAAAAGAATATCATATGAAGTCAAAGCGAGTCTTGTTGCCTAATAATACTTTTGTGTGTATTTTAGAATTTCTAGTTCAAACAAATGTTATCATTACATATTATCTTATTTTATCTAAATCCTCAGAATGCAATACAGAAAAAAATGGTTGAATTAACTGGAATTCTGGTGGAAAATAAACGATCCAGAATTCTGGTTAAGTCTATTAGAATTCTAGAAGATTTAACTAAAAAATTTTGATTATCTCAACTAGAAATTCAGTTAATTCAACTGAACATTTTTCTCCGTGAATATAGTTGACTATCTATGCTAATCAGTTTTGTAATCTTAATCAGAGATTCTTTAAATCTCCTCATGCATTTTTTACCTGCTGCTTATTTCGCAGGTGCGAATCTTGCATTTCCAGCAGCTTCCTCTCTGCATTTAAACACTCTTCGTTTAATTCGTGCCAGGCCATTAGGACGTTTGCGCAACGCTCGCACAATTGCAACGGTAAAGTGTCGCTTTCGGTTACCTGTGAAAAACAATAAGCAAATGACCAACACGTCGTTTATCGCATTACTTGAACTGAAATTTCGACGTTATTGTACACACATGTATCGGCAAGTACTTGAGTATTTTGCTGATCAAGTCATGTTGCGCTCCCTCGCCCTGAAAGATGGGTATCATACGATTGCTCGCGTTAGCGCATATCCTGCAGAGATGCATCCATGCCAACGTGATCTCCGTCTGATGCCTGTGAGACATCGTTTCTTCAATGTTCCCTTCGGGATATTGTACAGCCTGGTCCTGCGATATCAGGAAGAAGTCCTCTTCGGTTTCCTCTGTTTCATTGCGCCCTTCACGCGACACTATACTCTTTACAGTCTCGATCAGAATAATGTCTTCGCCGGGAGAATCCATTCCTGGTGGCATCGAATTACTAGACTCCATGCCGATGAAAAAGATGACTACGTGTTCGACACGCGATCAAAGAAATTGCTCGTCGAGTGACTTAAAAAGTAATTCGCTCGCTGTGTATGTCGCAAGTCGTAAACGCGTTTGATGGAAAAGCGAACAAAAATGTAAACAATGTTGAAGCAAGCTTGCTTCTTCTT